TCCTACAGTATTACTGAAATAGATGATTATTTACATATGAAATATTGTTAAATATCTCAAGAACGAAGAAAGATAGTTTGGCAAAGTCTCCTACAGTATTACTGAAATAGATGATTATTTACATATCAAATATTGTTAAATATCTCAAGAACGAAGAAAGATAGTTTGGCAAAGTCTCCTACAGTATTACTGAAATAGATGATTATTTACATATCAAATATTGTTAAATATCTCAAGAACGAAGAAAGATAGTTTGGCAAAGTATCCTACAGTATTACTGAAATAGATGATTATTTACATATCAAATATTGTTAAATATCTCAAGAACGAAGAAAGATAGTTTGGCAAAGTCTCCTACAGTATTACTGAAATAGATGATTATTTACATATCAAATATTGTTAAATATCTCAAGAACGAAGAAAGATAGGTTGGCAAAGTCTCCTACAGTATTACTGAAATAGATGATTATTTACATATCAAATATTGTTAAATATCTCAAGAACGAAGAAAGATAGTTTGGCAAAGTCTCCTACAGTATTACTGAAATAGATGATTATTTACATATCAAATATTGTTAAATATCTCAAGAACGAAGAAAGATAGTTTGGCAAAGTCTCCTACAGTATTACTGAAATAGATGATTATTTACATATCAAATATTGTTAAATATCTCAAGAACGAAGAAAGATAGTTTGGCAAAGTCTCCTACAGTATTACTGAAATAGATGATTATTTATATATCAAATATTGTTAAATATCTCAAGAACGAAGAAAGATAGTTTGGCAAAGTCTCCTACAGTATTACTGAAATAGATGATTATTTACATATCAAATATTGTTAAATATCTCAAGAACGAAGAAAGATAGTTTGGCAAAGTCTCCTACAGTATTACTGAAATGGATGTTTCCAGCTAAAGACTAAATTTTGATCTAAGCAAGAAGAACAAAATCCATCACCACAGCTAGAAAGGTATGTTAAAATTAGTAAAATTGCAAAGTTTTGTTGCGAAATGTTGTAAAATTAATGAGGAAATTATAGCCCTACGAAATTTGCAAATTTTGTATTAATTTGAATATTACGCACGCGAACATGCAGCACTTTCGGCCGGATAATGTGGTTCATTTTCCCGCGCGTAATACAAAGTGAACACAAAGTTTGCAAATTTCGCAGGGCTATATTTTCCGCATTGTAGAACATTTCGCGGCCAAACTTTGTAATTTTACTAATTTTAACATGCTCTTTCTAGCTGTGATGATGGATTTTGTTCGTCGTGCCTAGATCAAAATTTAGTCTAGCTGGAATTGCTTATCGGGTTCATTTGAATCATAAAATACGGTGTGAAATTTCGTTACATAAGCACTTTTAGCTACACTGTCTTGATCCGCTCCTGGAAGACAATGCATTTTTAAACATGTTAATTGTTTGCCGAAATTTATTGTACTAAGAACTTCCCTCCACCTTGCGAGTCGATTTAAAAAGCAATAATTTCTCACCTTTGGAAGAGTAATAATGTACTCATGAATATTCGCTAATCTAGCAGCTTTTATAACTTCTTTATCAGTTATATTCCCTGTAGAGTCGGGATAAGCAATATTGTCTCTGATAGTCATGTCAAACAAGACTGGTTCTTGTGATACTATAGCAATCTGACTTCGTAACCACTTTAGATTTAGATCTTTGATATCATTGCCATCAACAATCTGAAAAGGAAGAAGTTATATATGACGTCATACTCTCGTCATACACGGCATCATATACTCGAAAAACATCCTGGTTAAAAATTTTCTGGTTAAGTTAATGGGGTAAGTTAATGGTCCTGATTAAATTTCCTGCATGGTTAACTTCAACCTCGTATCCAGGGTCTTTCCTCTTGGGGAGAAAAGATCCTGGTAGACGCTGGTCACGTGATCTACTTTAGCAGATTTCTAATTAACTTCTTGGATTCCTTTACGACAATCTTACACAATGCAAATTATAAATTACAGTTGATTCCATATAACTTTTCCCTAAATATTGCGTTCCAAACTTCATTGTGAAGTTCGAAAGTTCTTACGTTTATTTATTTATTTATTTATTTAAATAAATAAATAAAATTTCAGTATGAACTTTCGAACTTCACAACGAAGTTCGGAACGCAACAAGCCGGTATGTAAACAAAGCCTCTGATTGGTCGCTGAACAAAAGTAAGCCAATCAAATGCATTGTTTACAAACCGGTTTGTGAATATGATTATGAACTTTTGTGAACTTCCCAACGAAGTTCGCAACATTCATGCAGTGAAACGCCATGTGAAATCAACTGTAAACTATTTGCTAATTAAAAATTTGCAAGATTTTAGCGGATCACGTGACCAGCGGCTACAAGGGTCTTCTCTCCCCTCGTGTTCTGGTATATAAACTCTACGTTTCAATTCAAAAAAGTTCAAAAGATGCAAAATTTGGACAATGTTTATATCTGCGGGTCCCCCTTTGTTATGAGCAGAACTGATGCGCAGAACGGATTTTCACAGCGTCTTTTTAAGTTCTTCCAAATGAGACAAACTAAATTTTTACTGCCAACGTCCTTTAAATAACTTTAAATAATTACAAATGATTGCTTACCACTCTCCCGACAGTGACGTCATAAAATCGTGCAATAAGTGACATTAACGTTGTTTTGCCGCAACCACTTGTGCCTACCAAGGCTACAGTTTGCCCTGATTGGACCGACAGATCAAAATTACGTAAGACTTTATAATCACGTCGTGTAGGATATCTGAAGATAACGTTTGATAGCGATAAATTGCCATGGCAGTGATTCTGTAAAACAAATATTAAGGCATGGACTAAATAAGGTATATCGCTAGACACAAGAACTTTGTGATAACATCTTGGCACAGTTCAGCCTTTTGAATGATGGTTTTTAAGGTGCATTTCCGCCGTTTTAATTGAAAAAACTAACTAGGAAAATCAATTAAGTAGAATTCAAGATCAGCAAGCTTAATGTTTTTAACATTTTAAAACATTTTTATTGTTAAAAACATTGAGTTCACTGATCTTGAATTATGTATAAATGATTTTCCTATAGTTAGTTTTTTCAATTAAAAGGGCCGAAATGCGCCTTAAAAACCATCATTCAAAAGGCTGAACTGTACCTTTAACAAATCATTTCAGGCATAAATCACAAACTTCATAATTTATTTCCTCCAAAGAACAAAACCAAACACAACTTCCAATTACACACATTGATTGACCGATAACCCCTTAGTCTCTTTTCGACACAGCAAATCCGTGAACCCCTAGTTCACAGCTCCCTATCACATATATCATGTTGTATTTGTTGTAGTTTTCTGTATATGTATTTGTATTTATATATTCCAGTAATGTGATTTACATACTTTGTTTTGACTAAATCCATCTGATTGGTTTATTTTTTGTCACGTGTTGCTTTTATATTCTTAGTATAAAAGCTCGAGAGTTTTCCCCAACCCCCGCTGCTTATTCCAGATGAAGAGCCTTCGCTCGAAACGTCGAAATTCTCCTTATATTTTTCAAGTAGTTGCATGCCTCCCAACGAATACTTATTTAAATTGTGTATACCTATTTATTTTAATGAAAAGCTAAAAGAAATCCACGTACCGGCTTTTTCCCATCGTTTGAACAAGAATCAATAAACGGAACTCTTTCCAAAAGATTAAACAATCTGCTGGCGGCTCTTTTGGCTTTCGAGTATTCTGGTGTTATGGAAATCACTTGACCAATAACTATTGCTGATAGCACTATTGTGAATATTGATCTGCACAAAATAAAATTAATTGGACATGATCAAAATTTGTCCCAATTATATTATCTAGCCTAATAATTAAGCATGCTCTTGTCAACACTAAGAATGTCACTCTGGGCCTGGCAAAATTAATTAAAGGTACTGATACCCGAGCTTGATTTCAGTAATTTGTATTTTGACAAACCGCTGATTTTTCATACAAGAACGAACTGCTGGCTCCATAATTAATCAAATGGACAGCTGACGAGCGTGTTGACAAAAACATCGAACGCTTAGGTTCCTTTTTCCAAATGTTTGTCACTTCCACCAGGGGCCTAGCCAGGCCTAAACCAGATCGGGGAGGGGGTAATTATCGGGCCAGCCAGGGGGCATGGTCTTCCGGAATATTTTTCTATATTTAGGGTCTACGTTACGCTATTTCATGCTTTTTAGAGATGTTTTATGATAATCTGAAACCCACAGATTTTGTGCCCTAGTTTTGAAAAAAATACAAAATTGGTCGTGAACCACATCCTCCCCCCCCCCCTCCGTGCCTACGCTTCTGGCTTCAACTTCTTTCGGAATGTTGGGGGACTTTCCTAGAAAGCTAAGAGTGTAAATGTTTGGTCTATGAGGATGTATCAATGAAAAAATAATGACCTTCGCAAAGAGAATCGCCCCCCTCCCACCTGCTTTTCCCAAATACTGAGGAATATTAAACAAAATCATACATAGTCTATCAAGATATGATGGTCTGCAAACTGAACAGAAGTCATTGTGTTATGTTTTTGTTTGAGTTTACAGTTAATTTGTACAACAACGTTAATTTGTACACGATCACGGCGATTGAGCTCAGTGTCTTTTCGTATAAGGAAGTAATCGTCCAATAGGATAGCTATGGTAAAACATGCAATCACGTGGAATAATGAAGTTGAGACAAAGGATTTGTGCACGGTTCAACATGAAACAAGGTCTTCTATTTTGTGGGTTTAATATGATGCTCGTCGGGTTTGCGGCAAGACCATCATGTGTTGATCCACTATAACAAGACATGATGTGCGAACATGTTTTGGCAGAATTAGTTAATTTAATAATGCTGTTCTTAGAAGATAACTTACTTCATCATATCTTTCAGTGTGACCTCATGTTCTGTTACTAAGTAACCACCAACACGAAACGATACAGCAAAACTCAAATTAATAATCGCCATTATTGTCCCTGTAATAACCCCCACATAATGGCTGCTTTTCCTTGCTTTCCTAAAGCAAAACACATTGAACGTATTCTAATGATTTAAAAAATACAGAGGAGACAAGGCAGGGTCCCCCCCCCCCATCCCCTTCCTTAATGACCTCCAGAGTTGTACTTGTAAAAGGTTGCAATCTGTGCAGAAAAAGAGAGTGGGGTTTGTGGTTATCGTGTTTCTTCAAAACTCATCCCAGAATACGAGTAGTGTGTTTTGACAATTAATTATAGAAAGATGCTAACTCTAATCTCTAAATAAAGCCATGGAGCTTTCTGCAACTTGCATAAAAATGTCAATTAAGTATTTGATGACAGGCTAGAGGAACATGTATTTTTCATTTTTCAAACGAGTCTATACACAAATATACCTGTGCATTGCCGCAGCTGCTTCGTGATACTTTACAAAACGTTCACTTTCACGATTGAAAGATGCGATAGTTTCGATATTGGCAAACGATTCTTCGATAACCTGAAAAAAATGCGCAGTACAGTAATTGTAGCGTATTTTGGTATTTTTCTGCAATTTCGGTAAGTGCAGTACACGCGAGATTCACGCGAGAGCGCACGCGAGAGCGCACGCGATGCATGAAACACGTTTTTATGAATTGGACAGCCGCCATCATGACCAATTTACTAATTTCGCGACTTTTTATATTCTTACACTTTTTTTTATATTTTTTACATAAATGAATATTATAAATTTGATTTGGAGCCTTTAAAACTTAAAATCTATTAGTATTACACAGTTTATTCAATATTTACAAAACCTACCTGTACCTATTTAGAATAAAAATTAATAAAACGTGGAACGTGGTTTGAATGTTCTAGCTGAACACATATGTTCATGATAAGTAAGAAAAATGATAAGTAAGATAAAGTCCCATGAAATATATACTGATAGGAAAAATTAACCATCTTATGATAAAATAATGAACCTCTATTTTTGGGATGCACAATTTGGACCCACAAGCTATTGTGTAATCATATCTCCTCTTCCTAAATATGAAACCTTTTGATAAGCCACACACCTTAGCATAACAATCGGCGGCTTTACCGCAGTCATTTGCACCAAGGAAATAATTAATCAGTGTTATAGCGATGATAACAATAGGAATAAAAGCCATCATGGTTAAAGTGAGTTTCCACGAAGCAGCAAAAGCGACAATTAAACCACCAATTATTGTAACCATGGATGAGACAAATAATCCGAGTTGAGGGCCTGTTGCCTGAAAGAATATGCAGCATATGCAAATTAAATAAATAAACGTGTCTAGTTTTACGCCTTAATTTCTCCTTCCTTTTCCTCGCTCCCCTTCCCTTCCATTAACCTCTCCATGCACTTGCTTCTTGCCATCCTTTCAATTCTACCTCTTCTTTTCCCAGCCTTTCGTACCTCCTAGCATTTTAGTTAGTTTTTCTATTTTAACTTTTAAGATAATATTGTAAATAATTTACTTATTGAGTATACCTGTCACGTTTTAGGAAGAGTTACTATTTTTAGACTTTTGTAATTTTGTATTCTTTTGTATTTTAAACTTAACCACAGTCGGATCCTAACCATAAAACCTAGCCCTAACCCTTACTCTAATCCTAACCCTAATCTTAATCCCAATCCTAACCCTTTTCCTAATCGAAACCCTAATTCTAACCCTAAAGTCTAAAAATAGTAACTGTTCCTAAATCGTGACTGATATCAATTGCAATATACAGCAACAATATAACATATGTATGTATACCATATGTATGTCATTAAAAATCGACTTCTTATTCTTATTTCCTATAGTGAATATTTTCATGTTTTTGTTTTCTCCTCATGCCGGTATTCTCCAATGCGACTCTGGTATCGATACTGTCACAATAGTCGTTACCAGCACAACATCAGCATCCTGCCAATCTCAGCATGCCTAGTCAAACATCATTTATTTGTTTTGTGATGAGTGTTGAATACATTGTTCAACATTAAACCTTCCTCATTGTCCTCATATATGATATGGTACACGCATGCCCGCAGTTTTTTTTTCAACTCTGATTCGAATCCTTTTTCTAGTGCTTTTTCTTCATCTCTCTCTTTTCTATTTTCCGTTTATTTTCTTTCCTTCTTCCATTCCTACCTACCCTCCCTACAATTTGGTTTCTTCTCTCCATCCTTCCTGTATTCTTTTACCCCCCTTTTTTTCTTTTGACAATAGACAGCCTAAGTTGTGCTGGTCTCAGCTTACAAGCTTACTCCCTGAATTGAAGATACTTCTGTAGCCAGTCGTGAACAGACTACTCCCGTTCCATTTTCAGGGCTGTCAAAGTAGGCCATATCCTTTAAAAAATAACAAGAAGTTGTTCAAAGTGAAATATCTGGTCAATTTGCAGGTCATTGGAATAAAAAGTTCTTTATTACCTGTCTTAAAAAGGCAGAAAAAGCCGCTTTCCTTAGTCGTTTAGTTAATGCTTCACCAGCAGATGAAAAACACCAATTCTAAAATGATAAGAAAAACATATATAATAGCCATTGCTTAGGTCATTTCAAAAAAGATGTTTGGACAGCTGCTGTATTAATTATTTATTCTTATTTATTTGGCAAAGCTTTTTTCGGTTATCATTTGGAAAATGAACATGTACAGGGTGTCTCAAAAAAAGGCAATGGTAATTCAACAGGCTGTCGTGCATCATAAACTTTGCTAAACAATTTAATTTTTACATAGTACGAAAGAGCTGTTATTTAGCTCTTCAACGATACCTTTTTAAATCGTAACGATGAGAAATGGCCACATACTCGTGAAATAAAAATTGTCGGTCGAAATCACATTCTTCCACCGTTGGGAATTGAAAATACATTAATCAGTATGCAAAGTTAATCAATCCAAAAGCTACGCGAGTCTGCTGCAAGCTGTTTGTTTGGTAAAACTTTTGATTACGAATGTTCTCTGTTTAGTGGTTAATTGAAGTAATATTTCAAATCCGAGTATGAGGACTGGACTAGATTTCAAGTCCGCGAGATTTAATCACGCCTAAGGCGAAGCCGAGGACTGGATCAAAATGTGAGGACTTGAAATCTAGTCCAGTCCGAATTGGAGGATTTGAAATGACATCGCATGCGAATAAATCACTACTTAATTAATTTTGATCCAGTCCAAGGACTGAATTAACTTTGATCCAGTCCTAGGACTGGATCAATATACTTCATCAGGTATCCAATATTATCATGTAAGCAAAATAAAGCAATATGGTTGGCTAATTTATTCATGAATTATTAATGAGTTTGAGATCTATGTTTACTGGACGTTCTTATTGTCTCCCTAAGACGACGATTGACGAGTTGAGCTCATTTTAGATAATTTCACATTCAATTTTAATTCCCTCTTGGGAATTGTCTAGTTTCGTTTTCCGTTTTATAGGTCCTCGTTTTCCGTTTTATAGCCCCCCTGCGATTCTGGTTCAGCGTTCTGATCAACTGAGCTACAGACCGCGATCGACAACTGTTACTGATCTGAGTAGCTCAGTTGGTTAGAGCGCTGCACAGGAATCGCAGGGCCACAGGTTCGCGCCAGAGGACCTATAGTTGCATTTTTCGCAACCGCTCTGGTTAGGTCTATTATTTAAATGTATAAAATTCACACTCGAAACCCGCATACATTTCATGTCCGTAAGGTAATCATCACAACGGATTGATCACCTTACCTGTAAGAATATTCCCAGCCCACTCTCTACTCCAATAAGGAAAAAGAAAACAGCCCAGTGTTTTGAATCATGGTCCATGGACTCACTCTCTTCTTCGATTCTCGAATTGTACCTCATTGTCTACAATAAAATAATGTGGGAATCAACAAAAGTGTTCAATGTTGATTTGAAAGGAGATATCTTTTAATTCGTCAACTAATTGGAAGTCCAATCTCGCAATGGATCGTACCAAGCACTCACTTTCTGCTCACACACCAAATTACTGACCTTGGTGATACGAGCGCCCTAACCGACTGAACTACAGAGGCCAGTTTCCTAGCGTTAACCACAGATTCTTGGATATATGGATGTGGGCGGGTAATGAAAAAGGTGAACTTCAAAGATATTTTCTACACTTGCATGACTTGCTTGAAACTTGAAAATCAATGTTGGAGTACAGATGGATAATCCAAGTGCTGCAGATTCGATTCCTGCCAGAGGACCTAGTGTTGTATTTTTAGCAACTGTTCCTGGTTAGGTATAAAATGTGTATGTATCTAGTGAGTAGTGTACTGTATATATGTATGTATAGTGTATGTATGTATAGTGTATGTTATCGTGACTTGGGTTATCCATCTACTCCAATATTCAGTTTCAACCAAGTGAAGTGCAGAGAAAATCTTTACTGGTTTCTAAGCGTCTCTTTGAAAGCTATTATTAAACTTGCAATAAATTGTTTGAATTGCATATAAATATGGATTGCAGTAAAATGTTATATGTACTTACATGAAGTACCCCACCAAATGCTATACCATATAGAAAAGGATATGAACCATACAATGCGGCGCCAATACAACCAAGGACCAAGACATTCCACTCCTGAGCATTCCATTTTAATATTTTCGTGAAAGATATTGGCTTGATATTGTCCACGTGGTCAAACTAGAAATTAGAAAAAGAAACATTTATATAATAAACGCGTAGCCAACCCTAAATTAGTCCTCACTCCGGGGCATTGCATTTGTCGAATACACAGAACAACTATAGGCTGTCTGGCCCAGGCGCGCAACGTATCAGGGGGGTGCGAGTTCTTCATGCTCGACAAAAGGTGTGATCACCAATCAATCTGCTATGAAATTGGTGAACTTTTATAACTTTACTTCAGATGACTTCAACTGCTTTGCTCGAAATACAGCCCAACACTAGGCAATAAGTATCATACCGTTTTTAAACTTCGGTTGCTGTCACTCCCCACCCCTCTCTAACAGTTGCGCCCTGGTCCATCCGAAAAATATTCTATTTTAAGCGAAACGCGATTTCATGCCTTTTAAACACGTTTTATAGTAATCCGAAAGCCATAGATTTGAAATATTTTATGTCATAGATGAAAGTATTACGAAGTTACGCGCGCCCCAGTTTCTCGTCAGTTTCGGAGGAATTACAAAATTGGTCCTGCAGAAAAGTGGGGATTCTAGACCCCCATTCATCCTCGTGGGTACGCCCCTGTTAAAGTATGCATTTGTCGATTTATCTGAACGAACGCTGGAGGGATAGTGGTCGATACTCCGAAAAAAGAAGTCAAGGACGTCTTTTAATTCCTTTTGTGCTGCGATTTAAGGTTGCGATAGTTTTTTTTCTCTGATGGATGTGAACGAGTGGATGAATTATGATATATGTACATGGTCCATGAAGAGGTACATGTACTCCACTGATATATACCAATTAACTAGGACTGTCTACAGTATCGTTTTGAATTCACTGATGAGCCGATTTTGAAGCTGAATATTTATAATGAGTAGAGAATTTTAAATCTGTCAAATTCATGACCAGAAATCACGATCACGATTTATTCTACATCCTTCGTAATTTGCATATCACGTTAAAATATGGCTTCAACTGTGAACAGTGAATTGTATAACGCGACGTTGTTAATCACAAAATCTGAGAATAAAGTACGTCGTTTGCAACTTGCCTCAATCGCTAGCAGCTGCAAAACAAGTCCAATATGGCCGCCCATGGCTCGTTCACATCCATACAGAAGACAAAATTCGCACTATACAAATCGCAGCAAAATTGTAAAAGTGTAAACGGGCCTTTTTGGTCGTAGTGTTTGTTTTATTAGTGATCAATGTATGTGCATAACATGCAATAACATGTACAATATATAAAACTCACAGTTGAAATAATACATCTGCCATGAATGTTAACACATGACCAGTGGCGGAAATCTGGGTGGCGCGGGGGGGGGGGTTGGTCGACCGCCCCCCCCACCTTCACGGAAAATTGACAAATTTTCGGAAATTTTTACCTAAAAGAGGGCTAAAAAAGTCTTTTCGAGTGCAAATAAGTGGGTACGTCGAAAATTTGAAAGTTTTGTCGGAAATTTAGGAGGCTTTGCCCCCTCCCACCGGAAAAAGTGAATTTCCGCCACTGCACATGACAGATTGTGGGAGTTAGGGACCGGTCATTCCGAAGAGAAATGTTTTTCTCGGTAAAAATTTTGCTGATCCAACCATCAACAAGTCAAAAATTGTTTTAGGCAACCTCAAATATAAATTAGAATTAAATACCCACCCCTGGCCAAATTTACAAAAGGATACCGTTCAGTAGTCGCAAATGCCCTTTACCACCTAACTAGTTCAGTGACATGACTTTGATAACTGCTTGTGCAATTTCCTGCAGTGTAAAGCCGGTTTTCCATTAGGCGGAATTTTGCGCGCGGAGCGGAATTTTTCTTTGTCTTGTGATTTCTCGGGTGGAACTAATTAGAAAAGACAAAGAAAAATTCCGCCTAGTGGAAAACCGGCTTAATGTTTCATGTTGTGTGCACATGTACTTTCTTTGAAGAGGGTCTAGATGGGGAGGGAAGGGGGAGGGGGGGGGGTTGAAAATCAGTAAGGGGAAAAAATTTGGTATTTTAACGGTAAAGTGTTCTGAAACGATAAACAGTTTTTTTCCCTCACGCTTCACCTTAAATTTTTAGTGTTTTCACGACTGACAGTAACCGAAATTGAGTGAATCACGACTCACGATATACCCCATCAACACCCTCTTTGGAGATACCATTTGCCTTCTGACAATTCGGAAATGATCAAGATAGTAACGCTGATTGGTTTACATATTGTGTTGACATATGACTGTTGACATTGCTTTTTAATCTTCAATATTTGAGTGAGTCATGCTTTGGAAATGATAATAATTTTCTATTACCCAACCCTTGAGTTGTTTTGTTTTTGATTTAGCCAACCTTTTACTTACTCAAAATTTTGTTTACCCAACCCTTTTCTCTTCGGTGCCACCCCTCGCTATAAATAATGGCGAGTCCCTTAGAGGCAGAGAGTAATTTAGAGTTCATGTCGGATTTTCTCAACTTTTCTCATCCTTACCACTAGCAACGTTTTAGCTTGAGATCCGTCAATTGTGGAGACGAGAGAGGTCAGTTTACGGGCGCCATCTAAAAAATCAATACAAAGAATTATTCAAAATTGTTTTAAGTTTAGAAGTACATCTTTTAATTATTAGTAGCTTAGTGTGTAACATGTGATATTAGATTGTTGTTTGTTAATGGATTTAAGCCCTTATCTCATACCTAGCGTATTAGCGGCTTTCCTATTGGCTACGAGGAGGTCAGTTCAATTTCGAACCCACCTGCTGACGTATGTTTAGGAGGTGGGTTCGAGATCGATTTAAATAAAAAAAGATTTAAATAAAAAAATAAAATAACTGTTTTTAATTGTTTTATAATTATTATTTTTTTATTTTGTTGGATGAAAATGGAACATTCTGTATTCAAAGTGGAAAAAAAGAAAGATGGCCGCCGAAATTTATTCGGCACCGGCAGGTTTATACCGATCTTGGCAATGTTTCCCCAGAATGTGTGCATTTTCAAGAATATTGTAGCCTAAGTTTGTTTGTTTGCGTGGTATTTTGACGGCTAAAATGTTCATTACCCAAACAAGAAATTATACACTAAAATGCGTATATTCTTCAGTACGTTTTACCGAAATGGCATGTGATAAAAACTAAACATACTTGCAGGTTTGGTGAGTCCGAGATTGGACGCACCTCGGGTGGCTGGAAGTTTCCCGAACCCACCTCGCTTCGCTCGGTGAGTTCGGGAAACTTCAGGCCACCCTCGGTGCGTCCAATTCCGGACTCACCTCCCTGCAAGTATGTTTGTTATATGGTCGACACCCGAGGAGGAGAGTTGATGAGGGTTTCAACTCTAGCTCGCGTTTGACCGCCCAGTTGTTTTTTACGATGAGTAGAAAAGAGTCTTAAAGTGCCTATATCACTTGTGGGACGTTCATGGATTTGAAAAGAGCGTAAAAAGTTAGTTAACTTATAAGTTCAAAAGCTTTTTTTGATTTAGTGCAATAATTTCAAAGATACAGGTCTCTAAACTACCTACAGTTCCTGAGTCCCAGGCTCCTATGCACAATGGACAGTTTCGAAAAAGGCCAAATTCAATAGATTCAATAAATTCCAGGAGGCCGGGACTCAGGAACAGTCCGTTGTGTAAAGGCCTATATCCTCAAAACTATTGCACCAAATCAAACAAAGCTTTTGAACTTATTAACTAAAACGCTCTTTTCAAATTCATAAAGGTCCCATAAGTGATATAGGCACTTTAAGGTCCATACAGATCGAACGCGATTCGACAACGCGACGCGAATTTTCAGTTTTTAAAAGCAAATAAAACCGTCAACGGATAAAATTTTTACAAGATATGCAGACCAAATAGCCAAAATTGCTTAAGTGGTTCTGAATATTTGAAAAACATAGAACAATATTGAAGTTAAATGTCATTGAAAATTCGCGTCGCGTTGCCAAATCGCGTCCGGTCTGTATATGGACCTTTAATTAATAGACGTACTATCGGTAATATGAAAGAATTGTTCGTCGTCAAAACTGCTTCCATCTTCTTCAACGTCGTCATCATAATTCGCCTACATGTAAAATACATGAGTTGGATCGTTTGTAGAAAGTAGTTAGAATGTTGCCAATGTCATAGGAATGAAATAATGACAATATTGAGAAATGTTTCGATCCATTCCAAACATATAAAGAAGATAATCTCAGACGTGTGGGTTCGTTTTGGCCGATGAAACTCTGTGGTCAGAAAATAACGTAAAGATGCTGGGAGAAATTTAAGAAGTTGACATGAGAGTCCTGAGGAGTAGCGTCGAATGTATCATCCTCGTGCTCAGGCTTCCGCGTGTCCGTGGATGATGATGCAACAGCACAATTATCGTGTGTCTATGGAAAATGCGCGAGACCCACAGGGCGTATGAGGCATATTCCCCGCAAAATGTTGAAAATTAGAGTGTCTAGATCTGAGACGCCATTTCACGTCCCGTGGAGGACGAATTCCCAGAATTGTGATCAGGGGCGTAGGAAGCTTCTAAAACTTGGGGGGGGGGGCAGGCTTTGAGGGGCACTTTTCGAGAAAAGAAGGGCATCTAAAAATTTTTTCGGACATACCAAAAAATATTTTCCCGCTATACCGCCTTTTTTCCTAAATACGGAAAAAATTTTCCGGACAAACCAAAAATTTTTCCAGATATATAATATTTTTCTCGGGAATGAAAAATTTTTTCCGGAAATAACATAGATTCAAGTTTTCAAAAATGCCCTTTAGGCAAAAAATGCAATCTTACGGAAATTTTTCACGCAAAAAAGGGCACTTTGCTCCCGGAAAAAGGGCACTTGGCAAAACTTGGGGGCCTGCCCCCCCCGGTTCCTACGCCCCTGATTGTGATGGTCAGAAAATTATCCGAATGCCCGGGGGCCTTAATCCTGGGAGGGGGCAGGGGGAGTTACACGCCCTGAAAATGATATTTTTGCAGGACAATCCTTTTAAATTGCTCATACTGGTCTTCTATTCTTTGATCAAGTCTAAGATTTTTAATCTAGTTCGGCGTCTGAAAGACTAATTAACATCTCTAGGTCCAGCTATAAAATAGTCATCTCAGTGATCAAGTTTCACCTGTAGCTTCACAAAACTGCTGTATAGTCCATCCAAAACCAAAAGCTCCTCATGTGTCCCTATTTCAACCACATGTCCTTCACTGATAACAGCAATAATATCAGCGTTGCGAATCGTCGAAAGTCGATGAGCAATAATGATCATGGTTCGTCCTTGCCCAGCCTATATTAAGATTATGGAGGGCACGGCATGTTTAGTGATGTTTATCACTGTAGGAGTAAGTTCCCTGGAAATACTGCTACCGGCCGCAGTAGGAATTGTCACGTCCAAGCTTGCAATTACTCTATCTCTATCTACTCGGAGAAATTAGCTATGTAAGCTACTCACAAATTCGAGTATAAATAAAGTTTCTGTATGAATATATGTATGTATGTATGTATGTATGTGTGTATGTATGTGTGTATGTATGTGTGTATGTATGTGTGTATGTGTGTATGTATGTATGTATGTATGTATGTATATGTATAATACTATTTACTATTTAAAACACGCGTAGTAGTATTTTATCATATTTAAAATTGCGAGTGCGCAGTACGAGCATTTTAGATATGATACAACACGAGGGTTTTGAATAGTTTCAAACACGACTACAATAGATGCCGTCTCATTAGTATTTATTATATAAAGAGTACTAATTAGGAGGGACTTTTATATAAAGAATAATGAAAATGAGTTTTATCAGGTTTAAACCTCTTCACGTGACATGTTATGGTTGACATGTTGTGCCAAAAAGCTTATGAATTATTAATGATGTTTGAATGTTGTATCAAGCATTGCGCAGCTATCCTACTCTTTACACCTACTTCATGGATCGAGATTTTACCGAGGACTTCCGTGAATTAGCTCCATGGCACCAAGGGCCAGCAATTTGGGAGTCGCGAATCGCTTTCCCGCCAAAACCGAGGATTGGCTGTCTTGATTTTTATTAGATTACTCCAAAGCAGAATTGTAGTTTTGTTTCGCATAGAATACATCTTCTTGACGTAATAAAGTTTAAGAGGTGTGTCAAATAGAACTTCATATAGGAAAAAAGGTGAAGGTCTCCAATCCGGTGAATAATTGTCAAATATGTGCAGCACAATTTATTTATTTATAAAACATCATCTTTTAACACAGTAACTAATCAACCATAATACGATAAAGTACAGAACCGGGTTGCTTTTCTTTAAGCCATCCATGTAGCAATAAGATTAAGAAATTTTATAGAAAATCCCCCCACACCTACTAGCAATTTCCTCGCCTAAACTTCCCTGATTTCCCCCCTAACACTTCAAACGAGATTAAAGAAAGCAACTTTACCCCCTCACACTTCAAATGAGATAAAAAAAAACCAACAATGATGACGTAACGAAAATATTAGTGTCAGAACAGATAAAACTATGTTTCTTCATACTGAATGGTTAGTAATTTCTTGTGACTTACTTTACGAATAGCTTCTTGTACAGCTGCTTCACTCTCGGAATCCAAGGCGGACGTGGCTTCATCTAACAACAATATCTTAGGATTTCTTACTAAAGCTCTTGCTATAGCTATACGTTGTTTCTGACCACCACTCATCTGTGTACCACGTTCACCACACAATGTTTCATAACCCTTCAAGTACAATTGGCATAATATCAGAATTTTTGTTGCAGTAATGTTGAAGGATTTTTTAGATGGAAATTTCGAGTGCAAATTTCATCCATTAATCATTATTATTATTTATTTAAAAAATTCCTGGTTTCTGATTGGCTAACAGCCAACTGTGAAATTGTCATATCAACTCAATGGCTAACCAAATACGGATTTTTCACATTCATATTAGCAAAATGACGTCCAATATGAAAAAAATTTGGACGAGTTTGCGCCATATTACTATGACGACGAGAATCATATTGACTCGCTGACGCCATTGATATGACGCGACGACGACTGCCGAAGGACTAAGGAATTGTTTGTTTCTTAATACAAATAAAAAAAAATGTTTGTTTTGAACTTTTTAAATAAATAATAAAACAATTATTGAATTCTCTTTTCGCACAATATGAAGAATTATCAAGCCCTCAGTTTGCCGTTATCAACCTCAGGTTTCGGCTTCGGTTGATAACGGCAAACTTCGGGCTTGATAATTCTTCATATCGTGCTCAACCTCATTCAATAATTGTTAAATAATTCATGAGTAAAATAGCCAATAATATTGCCTCATTTTGCTCACACGATATACTGGATATATGGTGAAGAATATCGATCTAGTCCTAGGACTGGATTAAAATTAATTCATCTCACTCTATGTGCAGTAATTTATTCGAATTGTGAGATGTCATTTCAACTCCTCCAATTCGGACTGGACTAGATTTCAAGTCCTCGCATTTTGTTCCAGTCCTCAGCTTTGCCTCGACTTGATCAAATTGCGCGGACTGGAAATCTAGTCCTGTCCTCAAAGTCGGATTTTAAATATTACTTACTGTAGGACATAACCAGGATAAGTTCCAAAAAATGCAACTATATATAGGCCCTCTGGCAGGAATCGAAACTGCGGGCCAGTGATTCCGGTGCAGCGATCTAATCAACTGAGCTACAGGGTCCAGTTAACGAGCTCGATCTAACCACAAGTTTATGTATAATACTAAGATGATGCCATAGTCAGGTATATTTGGTCATTTAGAAAGAATTTTTAATTAATCAGGAATGAAGAATGTCATTGCAGGGAAAAAGGAACATTCGTTTTCTTGAACTCGCATTTGTGAGTTTCTGGAGCGCTTCTCTATCATTGAAGTATAGCCTTGGTTAAGCCCTGGTCAAGTGAGAATGAGAGTTGAAAGCAAGAGTTGGCACGAGCGTTTCCTCAACTCCCATGCCTCGATGAAACGAGAACAAGAGTTGCATGCATAAAGGCCTGATTCCACGGGCGCTTTCTTCGGCGAAATGAGAAACATTTCGCGCGAAATGAATTAGGTGCATGCGCAGTGAAGATAAATTAGGCATCGCAAGAAAGAAATTCGCCTCACCAGTGAGTAGAAGTCAGTTCAACTCATTGCGAAAGCTACCCAGGATTCCAGAGCCTTCGACAGTAAATAATAAATTGAAATGTCGCGAAGGCTCTGGTTCAACGGGGCAATTCTTTGATTGAACCGCGCCAATCACAAAACAGAATTAGTGGTTTTAGTACAGATTCTGTACTAAAACCACTAATTCTGTTTTGTGATTGGCGCGGTTCAATCAAAGAATCGCCCCGTTGAACCAGAGCCTTCGCGACATTTCAATTTATTATTTACTGTCGAAGGCTCTGGCATCCAGGGTATGCGAAAGCGGAAATTCAGTGGAATCGCTCATGTGCAACCATCCGTATTTCGCAGACACAATTCCTCGCGAACATTTCGCGAAATCAGGCCTTAAAGGCGGTTTTCCACTAGGCGAAATTTTTCGACCGAATCGAAATTTCTCTTTGTTTCATGAGCTCTCGAGCAGAACTAATTGTAAAAGGACAAAGAGAAATTTCGTTTCGGTCGAAAAATTCCGCCTCGTGGAATCAGGCCTTAAGAGTTGACGGTAGCGAACACTCTCATCAAACACCGCGGAAAAACGTCTGCGCATGCGTCAACCTTACCTGTAACAGTATTGCGAGCTTGATGAGAAGCTGTTCCGAACGTTTCCGAAGGCTCAAAATGGCGGTAAAAAGGAGTGACTTCATTGTGCGTCTTTACAGCCAGATTTCGAGCGCGAAAATAAACATGTCATTCTAAAAACTAGGAATAAATACAGCCAGAAGGTTCAAGAAATTCTATTGTACAAGAACATGAACTAAAGGTGATTGTTGACAAATTTATCGTCTGAAACATTTTGTTTATCAACTAAGCAAGGACAATTTCCGAATTTTCGTTTGAGATACATTTCTTTAAAAAAAACTATGTCGCCAAATATAAAAAATTTTCGTGTTCACAATAATTAAACTATAGGATTTATTCTACAATTTGAGTGGGTTAAGAAGCTTAACTTTTCGAGAGTTTTTTAGTTTGAATTTTTGTTTTGAATAATTTTGCAAAAATTTTCGAAGTCGTGTCCGTTAAAATCAACAATTTTTTACATGAATTATATTTCATTCCATACTTTAAATGCCAGGACGCTTTCAATTAGTCTACCCATTTGCTATATTTTCTCGTTTGTTTCACTAATTTTTGACCAATTAATAAGCATGTTTTTGTTTTAGAAATTGATATTCAAATTACCCGCCATATTTTCATAATTTGGTGCATGCGCAGACGTTTTTCCGCGGTGTTCTCTCATCAACTCTCGTTAAAATTTGAACCAGTGAAAAGTGACGAGAGCGCATGAGCAGACGCGAGCGAGAGTTGCAACCCTCATCAACTCTCAACCTCGTTTCACCGAGGCTTTAGAACGATTCGAGTGCATGACATTTATTGTGATGACGTAATGCATGTTTAGGAGGATCAATGCATTTCACAATCATCCACAGAAATAACAATATTTTCATACTCTGACATTGCGTACAATACAAAGCAACAAAGTTTGCAATTCCGTCACTCGAGCTGTATCGAGTCAACGAAATTAAATCTGTTTACGTAATTTTGTAAATTATACGGACACTAACGAATTCGAAAATCTACAGTATCTATAAATTTTCTTTTTACCTTTGGAAAGCGGATAATAAAATCATGAGCATTTGCGATTTTTGCTGCTTTCTCAATTTCATGCTGTGTTACTCCTTCACGACCGAAAGCGATATTTTCAGCAATTGTTGTTGAAAATAATACTGGTTCTTGATTCACTACACCAATGTGACGTCGAAGATGACTGACATTCAGATCCTTTATGTTCTGGTGATCAAGTAGAACCTGATTAGAGAAAAAAAACAGACTATTAATAATGACGATTCCCATTTGATGGTTAATCAATTTTGATTTCACTGATTAGTATAGGATACTGAGGGAAGACCGGAAGAGGGAGTCTAGATCCCACTAGCTTCCCAGCCCACTTATTTCTAAATGCCCCTTCCTAACCACTTGTTGATCAAATTAATCCCAGGTTCAGTGGCAAAGCTGGCCATGGCAACTGGTCATGCTATACTAATAAACCTGCCCCGAAATGGTGACTAGATGAGCTTCTGGCCTAATTGCATACCACAGACATGCACAGCTGCTTTTGCGCTGAGTACCAGCTATTATATTTCAAATATATCACTATGCTGAAAGATCGAACTTACAGATCCTCTATCTGTATCATAAAATCTCTGCAGTAGTTTCCCAATCGTAGTTTTTCCACAACCACTTTCTCCGACAAGTGCAACACATTTCCCGCTTGGTATCTTTAGATTGAATTCCTTTAAAACCTGTACAAGAAATTAATGATCAGCTGATTTACTTAATCCCGAGCCAACGCAGTGTAAACCCAGAGGAAAGGAGGGAATTAATTCCGCTCGCGGCTATGCACACCTGCAACGCAGAATATAGGAACCTTACAGAAAATAAATATTTTGTAATTAAATGTCATAATCTTTTATTTTTTACAAATTTGCAATAAAAGTACAGTATAAAAGAGAAAAATGATCATGTTACTATGTCAATGACAACCGCCTTAAATACTTAATTTATAAGTGGAAAATATAATTATAGGGTGTTTGATTAATTACCAAGGCGAGAGTTTTTGCATGCATGTATTCCTAGCAGTTTACAAGTACAGTTTATCTGCCAACAATTCTCACCTCGAATGCAGGTCGTCTTGGGTAGGCAAAATTAACATGACAGAATTCTAAAGCACCACTAATATTTTCTAGCTTCTTTCCAGCGGATGAGGAAGCATCAATTTCTGATTTCTATACGAGTATAATTAAATGAATAAGACTACAGAGTTTCTGAAAAACCGCGACCGGCGCGTTGTTTTGTTATTGAACAATAAGAAGCCGATATACTAGTAATACAGCCAAGTTGCGCGGCACTCGAGGCAAAACTTTCCCAGTGGGCAAAGTGCCCCCCCCCCTCTCCAACTCCCCTCCCCGTCCCCTCCCTGCGGCCATGAATACATACTTTTGACTTGGGGATATTCGAACAAAGACTGTGCCAACCAGCTGAATATTGTTATAATAATAATTTTACACGAGATATATTCTAGCTGTTTCGCACACACGTGAATACAGGATGTCCCAAAAAAACGCACTATATATTGAAAGCTATATATTGAAATAACGTATTGTTAGAATTTGAATGTCTCAGCACCATGTTGAAAAACCTGGTTCCAGAGGTTTAAAATAAACCTCTGATTGAAAGCAGCAATTGATTCATCGAGCGCGCCGATCAGTTTGAATTAGGGTCAGATCCTAACTCTGTCTCCTGATTGGATGATTGTATTAAAGCTCTCTGATTGATTAAAATAAAACGTCTATAACCAATCAGAGAGCTTTAATACAATCATCCAATCAGGAGACAGAGTCAGGATCTGACTCTAATTCAAACTGATTGGCGCGGCTCGATGAATCAATTGCCGCTTTCAACCAGAGGTTTATTTTTTCTCTCCCTTCGCAATGAAAATAATAAAAATAAACCTCTGGAATCAGGGTATCTGTTGAACTCACAAGTGCAAAAAGTTTGACATAAGTAAATTTTATGCATAAAGAAACTGTTTAAGAAGCTGCTTTAAATTCCCAAGTCCAAGAGCAGAAAAAAAAGTGCGCTTTACAAATCAATATTTAATATATACACCCTGTCAATGTTTTGCGCATCTTTGCGTTCAGCTTAGTGCTAGGGTATTCAAATTCTAACAATACGTTATTTCAATAGTTTTGTATAAAAAAGTATGGCCTTTCAAATTCAAATTTCCAATAATTATAAGTGATTTGATTGTTCTCAACTGCTTTGAGTTAATGATACGCGACGAAAACATGTCTTATTTACAAAAGAGATCAATTAACTTCATTTTAATCTGCTTGTACTGTACAGGTTGTACATGTCTCATAGGTAGAAAGTCTTTAATTTGTTTTAAGGGTCGCTAACTTGTTCGAAGCAATTATACAGGGTGGCCCCCAAAAAACGAAAACTATTGAAATCACTTATTGTTAAATTTGAATGCCCTACCAAACAGCTGGACGTAATGATGCGTAAAATATTGACAAGTTGCATGTATTAGAATTTAGTTAGGAATATCTCCTGGTAAAGTGCGCGATTTTCTGCTCCTGGGAATTAAAAACAGCTTCTTAAACAGTTTCTTTATGCATAAAATTTATTTGTGTCAATCATTTATGCACTCGTGGGAACCATTCAATGCTTGATTTAAATTTGAAAGGCTATACTTTTTTTGATACGATACACACTGTATAGCGAATACCGCAGTAAGGGCCTGTTCATATGAGCCCGGTTAACCGGGCTGGCCCGCTTTACTTTCACATGAGGCGGGCTAGCCCGGCAATCATATCTATTCATAGTAACGATTTCCCGCGATATTTTAGCGGGAAAGTAAAATTCGTGTTTATTCAGTAAATTTGTATTTTTGTCGACGGCAACAGCTTCAGGAGGTTTAATTTTGATAAATTCCTATAGCTTTGAACTTTTTAGACTGTTTATAAGCGAAATAAAGCACGCAAATTTCCAGCCCGGCTTGCCGGGCTAGCCTCGCTCAAGCGAGATCCCGGCAAACCGGGCTGGCCCGCTTCTCATATGAACCGAATCTTAAATTAATATAAAAACAATATGTGAGGCGGGACTCGGCACTCGAAAACCAGCCCGGTTAACCGGGCTAGCCCAGCAGTGCCGGGCTCATATGAATAGGCCCTAAAGTCGGTTTTCCACTTCAACCGTATCGTAGCGAAGCCGCAGTGTATTTCTTTGTTTCCTGAAATGCTACGGTACGCTACGATACGATTGAAGTGGAAAACATGCAGGCTTTATGCCAGTTTTCCACTTCAACCGTATCGTAGCGAAGCGTAGCATATTTCTTTGTTTCCTGACCACTAGAGTGGAACTAATGACTTCGACACAAAAGAAAATGCTACGGTACGTTACATGGAAAACCGACTTTAAGCCTGTTTTCCACTTCAATCGTAACGTATCGTAGCATTTTCTTTTGTGTCGAAGTCATTAGTTCCACACTACCGCTCAGGAAACAAAGAAATACGGTACGCTTCAGTACGATACGGTTGAAGTGGAAAACTGACTTAAAGGCCGTTTTTCACTTCTATGGTACCGTACCGAAACGTACTGGTGAGTATGCACAGGTTGATCATGAAAATAAATTGAAAAATTTACGTATACCTCCGGATGTATTCGCGTATCAAAATGGAAAGTTCGTCGCAAGTTTCTTTTGTGTCGAAGTCATTAGTTCCACTCTAGTGGTCAGGAAACAAAGAAATATGCTACGCTTCGCTACGATACGGTTGAAGTGGAAAACTGGCATAAAGCCTGCATGTTTTCCACTTCAACCGTATCGTAGCGTACCGTAGCATTTCAGGAAACAAAGAAATACACTGCGGCTTCGCTACGATACGGTTGAAGTGGAAAACCGACTTTAGGGCCTGTTCATATGAGCCCGGCACTGCCGGGCTAGCCCGATTAACTGGGCTGGTTTTCGAGTGCCGAGTGCCTTTTTGGCGTACTACAGAAATATCACCGGATGAACATTCACTAAAGTTTAAAATTTTTAAATTTTTTGATTCGTTTCGGCACGGTGCACTTGAAGTGGAAAACGGCCTTAATCTAGGTTGAAACAACTTGAATGTCGTTTTTGCCATTCCTAAGTTAAATTACCCTGATTAAGCAAAACATTTCGGGGGATTACTCGCAAATATTTTTACTCCTTCCGCAAATCGATCCCTAGATTAAAAACATGCAGTAAAAATTATTCCGTTATTTTTACTCCTTTGCTGGAGTTACTTTACTTCTTCAGTGGAGTTAAATTGTAAATGACTGCAAGTGGAGTAAACTTTTGGAATCCACAGAGGCGTATCCGTCTGCATTCCGAACGTTTAACGTCAAACTCAATTTTAACAATCAATTTACCGACCATTTCGAATCAATTCAGTTAATTTCAGAGTTACATTTTTTCATACGTAATATCCGTACCGACAAGTTGTTTAAAATGAGAAGGGGGGAGGGGGGCTCGCAAGTGGAGTAGATTTAACTCTTCAGACAGAGTTAAAATAACCCCTTGAAATTAATAGTATCTTTCTCTGCTACTTGGAAGCAAGTTTCAATAGTGTACAAGAATATACATTCATTAGCATGAATTATGTGAAGTAATGTACGGTCATGCAGCTTACCTGATCAATAGTTTGAAATACGACGAAAGCTGCTCCTCTGGCTGAAGCTAACGCTTCAAAACATGTTGCTGCCGTTTGTCCAAGAATCATTGATCCCATCGTTACAGCAAAAAATACCTTACAAAAATAATCATAAATGTATGATGCAACCTAGGTGATCTCATCACACAGAAAAGCCGACAATTTGTGAAATAGAAATCATGTTTTATAAGGTTTTGAGCAAAAAGTTTCTTAATTAAAGGGATATGGCAATATAAATTAAGTTTGTCTTATTTAAAAGAACGTTTAAAATGATATATAGACTTCCATTACAATTATTCCGTATCTTGCTTGGTTTTCGAAATAAATCGACTTATTTTGATCAAAAGCAGTGTGCATTCCGCCATCTTGGATATGTATACTTCGATATGCATACGTCACAAGTAGAGTAAAAAGCGAAATTTTTATCTTGCAGATCAGACCACATGTCATTATCAATATAAAACTCGATTTTCCGAAGTCTTTTTAGTACTCAATTAAGTCACAACATTTTAAGAAACTTTTCGAAGAAATTTAGTAACACATGAAGAAGTTTTAACAAGTTTACCCTGCTTGTGACGTCATCAAAAACTCAGTTAATTAGGTCAATTATAATTCCAAGATGGCGGACTGCACACTGTTTTGGACAAAATATTTCGAAAAACAAGCTTGTAAAGGGTCTTCATATATAACTTTAAAATTTCTTTCGAATAAGACAAAGTTAATTTTTATTGCCATATCGATCCCTTTAAAGACCATGTAAAGTCCGTTCTGCACATACGTTCTGCTCAGGCTTCCATTCCAATGATCGGGACCCGACCGTCGGAATGTTATTAATATTTCGTATCTTTTGAACTTTCTTGAATTGAATCTCTAGTCTGTATTCATTTTCAAGCATAGCGAACCAGAAGAGTGTGAAAAATTCAGTATAATATATATCTAATCATATTTTACAACTGTAGCACTGAGTTTAAAATGTAAACAAAGCGATTGTTTACATTACGGACTTTACATGGTCTTTAAAGAAAATACTTTACAAACAAATGGTAAAACAGAAAAAAATAGATCTCTATTGTATTGTGTATTGTTATATAGTCACAGACTGTTTTCCAGTTTTCAAATTAACTAGATTAAAACCAAACTTTTCAACTAATTAAGCGAAGATTCTATTTCATAAAATATGCGCAATATAAATTTTAAATGTTATTATTATTAAGAGGAGACTTGTGTATGTTGTGTAACACGCGCTCAAAACTAATGAGTATATAATATATGCTTAGTGCTTTATCTGTAAAATGATGCTAAAATGAAGAGATTTTAGATGGTACGCCAAAGATAGAATGATGTTTGAACTCTGAAGTTCAGTATGTTTTGCTTATATTGCTGCAAATCATGGCGTCAAGCATCATTGATATATTATTTTATGTTTCTCAACTGGCAGATGCATTAAAAAGGCATAGTTAACTAGAAAATAAAGCTAGAACAAAGTAATTTTGTGAAGAACGCCACAAAGATTTTCGTTCTGAACACTTTTCATCGTAAATATGCGACATGGAAAAAAATGCCGCAATCATTTTAGCGTCCAGTTTAATTAATTTATATAAAGAGAAAGTAGAAAAATACATACAGCTAATGCATCTCCGGGCGTTGTTTCCGTTTCTCTTGCTAGTTTTATTATATACCTTAAATAGAAAATTAGTGATCAAAATGCAAGATGTGCAGAAAGAGAACGGATTAATCCATGCAGCCAATAGGCAATTCTAGCTTTTATTTTTTGCGCGCAGAGGGGGATGGGAAGTAAGGTATCATATCGCTATTATGCTGAAACATTTCAATAAAAACTGCCGAAACAACCAAAATATTTCAATATTTATTTCAAACATCCCCCTGCACGCATAAATTACAAGCTGGAATTACTTATTCTTAAGCACGGATCAAAGGAGGATATAACTAGTGCACAGGAGTTGGTATATAGTCACACGACCTTGGTCAGTTATAGCTGTTCTCAATATTTTACTATCACTAAGTACTGAATAAAACATGAGCAGCCGATCTTTATCTGATATAAAAACTCGAGCCGAAGGCGAGAGTTTGTATATAAGATAAAGATCGGATGCGAATATTTTATCGTGCTGAAAAAACGACCAATCTTATGTATTGAGTTCATTGGCGAAGTAATTTTAAAAATAAACCGACATTGTCTAAACTTAACCTAGAAAATCAAAGCTGAAGTTTACGTAAATCAGGACAAATCTTTATGCGATTTACAAACATTGATTAAACATTCATTTATTTTGATTTTTCTTCATGAATTATTAATGAGTTTTATAATTTAAATTCAAAACTCATTAATAATTCATGAGGAAAACACAAAGAGAAATCATAAGCGTGGCGTGTCTTTATATGTGATAAAACACGCTTCAAATTTCAACTTGTATTTTCTCAGCTAATACAAAGTTATTTTGGAAAATTATCTCGCCAATGCCGTGATCTAACTGAGACGTTTTTGAAGCTGTTTAATAAACGAGTAGGAGACTCAGTGTTTTATCACATATAAAACACTCCGCTACGCGTCGTGTTTTATATGTGATAAAACACTCCTACTCGTTTATTAAACATCAACTTAAAACATAGTTGGAACACTCGTCAAAGCTTTTATTTTGTTAAATCTAGAGATTGAAATCTCCCCCTGCATGACAATGAGGGCTGCCAACTCTCGTCAACTCTCATCCTCGTTTGTCGACAGAGGCTTTAGTTCTTAATGACTTGAAATTTAGCATTTAAGTTTTAGTGATATAATAGTAGATAGGTTTTGTAGATGAAAATTTCGATTGTAAATTTTATATATGAAATGTTTTCTGTTGTAGCCAAGAAAACTTTGCTCAATTTCATGTTCAATAGTCTACAAATTGTTTCATATGTTTGGCTTTTTACACTCGATGAAACGATTAATCAAAAAATCCTAATCATTGAACATTTGAAAAATGATTTAAATCCTTTTTAAAAAACGAACTATGCGACTATAAAAATGTTTCGCCGTCTTTCGACCTCTTCAGTTTGTCGCCATATTGAACTGAAGAGGTCGAAAGACGAAAGATATATTTTTATAGTCGCATGCATAATTCGTTTTTAATTAGGACTAAATAATTTTTCAAATGTTCAATGACTAGTATTTCTAATCGTTTCAACGAGTGTGCAAAACATATCAAACAATTTGTAGAACTGAACATGAAATGTTATACATTTATTAGACCTAAAGCCTGCCGCACACGACAGCAACTTGCTGAGCTAATCGCCTCGCGTGCGGATAGTTTTCGTGAGGATTTAACCTCTCGAGGCCTTGAGGAAAATATCTATCCTTATTTTTCGCCTCCCGAGGAAAAAATCTCAGCGTCTGCGGATGTTGTGAGCTAAGTGCTGAGCTGTTTGAATCAATTAGCCAATGACAAACCATGGTTTCTTCATGTGACTTGGAACAAAATGGAGGAAAATGCAAATGGTTTTGTTATTTATGTTGTTGTTGAGTAGTTTTCTCAACGTGTGCGGTGAAAATACGTAGCTGAGCTAGCTGCCACGCGAAGCGGTTAGCTCAGCAAGTTGCTCTCGTGTGCGGCGGGCTTAACCAGGGGCGGTTGTGAAAAATACAACTATATGGCCCCCTGGAGGGAACCGAACCTGCGATCCTGGGGCTGGTTGTATAAAACTCTTAATCACTTTTTCAATCATTATTTTGTAGTTAAATAATGATTAACTCTCATTAGGCGCTTCTTATTGGACGACGTTTGCACTTATTTAATCATAGTTAACTTTAATCACTTTTTTATACAACCTGCCCCTGCAATTCAGGTGGAGCGCTCCAACTAAATGTACAAAATTATATCATATCCGGCAAAACATATCTACAAACAATGAGTTATATCGAGGTTCGATGCCCAAATCCTGATAATGGACCCTTTGCACTGACGTCACAAATCCTTAGAGTGTCCTCCAGATGCTCCCTAACATTAAACACCTTAAGATTGACGTTTACGGCAAACGTCAAACCGCTAGCGAGGTTTTTGATTTTACAACTCTATTATTATTGCTTTCACACCAGTTTTGAAATATGTTAAACTTATTAAACTTGTGCTCTTTAGCAATGATTTAAGAAAGCAAATTAACCACTAGTCATGCCATTCACCAAAGCAATAAATTAAGATTTGGCGTTTGAAGTTGACGTTTGGCGTATAAATTTCATACTTTAACGACTACAAGCCCTCGTAGCAGTTCCAGCATGAAATTTATACGCCAAACGTCAACTTCAAACGCCAAATCTTAATTTATTGCTTTGGTGAATGGCATGACTAGTGGTTAATTTGCTTTCTTAAATCATTGCTAAAGATCACAAGTTTAATAAGTTTAACATATTTCAAAACTGGTGTAAAAGCTATAATAATAGAGTTGTAAAATCAAAAACTTCGCTAGCGGTTTGACGTTTGCCGTAAACGTCAATCTTAAGGTCTCTAATATCTGTTCGGGTACAACAACCACATACAGCGCAAAAACTAACCATTTTGATACAAAATTATTGAAGTTTTACAAAATTTGCTTTGTTTGCGAAAGTTATATTATGCATAGATTGCAAATTTGTCCTCCAGATGCGTTGTCACCGGCGTTGTGACGTCATGTGCAATGGGTCTATACAGTAATAACTAAATTTTAAATCAATTGGAGATTTTACCATACTGATAGTGCATAGTCAGCGTAGAGGATCAATTGAAATCCTCCCATTCCCAATCCAAGGCTAACTGCTTTCTTTATTGCGTATTTACTCGCGTCAATCAGATTTTCATCGTATCTAAATTCATTGCAAAACCATGATAGAATGTATGATCATTTCTGATTTTGAAAAGTGAAAATCAAAAGTTAAAATCTCTTACAATTTTACTTGATGATGTTCTCCGCCAAATGCTACAACTGTCTTAATAGACGAAATGCTTTGCTCAGCAATTTTTCCAGCTTTAGCATAAGCTTTTAGCTCTTTATTCGTGTAAATACCACTCATCTGTAAAATACCAAAGACATTTTTAACATCAACTGGTGTACAGCATAAACCAATTGCCAACACATTGACTATATTTAACAATTATTGTATTCGGTTTCGCAAGATATGAAGAATTATCAAGCCCTCAGTTTGTTTTATCAACCTCATGCAGCCGAATTTTTATTATTACACTGGCCGATAGGGCCAGTGTCTAAGATAATGTCCACTTGTGTACGCATGTGAGAACTTTGTTTACGTTTGAACTGCTATATTTGTAAAATATGATATATACTAACTGAATATCTAACATTTTTCTGGTTCGCCATGCTTGTAAATGAATATAAACTCTACGTTACAATTCAAAAAAGTTCGAAAGATGCAAAATTTGGGCAATGTTTATATCTGCGGGTCCCCCTTTGTTATGAGCAGAACTGATGCGCACAACGGAGTGGACATCATCTTTAAAATGGGCCCGTTTCTGTCTTGGTTGTTTTTTTTGTTGTTGTCGCAAACGCGACATACCATCGTGCCACCGCAGGCTCAGGTACAGTGTTCCAGTGACCTGTTGAGTTTCAAAATGGCGGCCATTTGTGGAGTGGGAGGATGTTTCAAACAATTTCGTTAAAATTTTCAACGAATTCGACCTGTATTCTATGGATTTTGCATTGTTTTGAGCTATAGACTTTCTTGCGAGTTTAATTAATGCCTTTTCCTTTATGCACGGCACTGAAAATCCTAAGTTAATCCCGTGAAATCGTGAATCATAATATACTGAATATAAACGAGCCAAGGACAAGTTCAAGGTAAAAGGTTAAAATCTAACTACACAACGTATTTTTAAAAGTTGACTACTTGGGTATAATGAACAAAAAATAAGTAAAAATGTCTGCAACAACAGCACCAATACTAGTTAGCCGTGGAAACGTGAAAACTATAGTGTGAAATACGATATTGTAATGGCCTTGTGTTTTGGTCAAAATCTGTCAAATTTATGTTATGTGTGATAAAAATAAGTAAAATGTTTGTATAAATGCGAACCCAAATAATGCGTGAAACGGTGTAGACTAGGGAACGTATAAGTTGTCAATCGAGGCCAGTGCGAACGCCTGAGCAGGCGTCTTGTTTATAAATAAACACGCCTTCGGCCGTGTTCCCAGATATAAAGGACACAAATACATAGAAGAAATTCCAACGAAAGCAGTCACGAAAGGATTTGAAACGTCCTAACGAACTTATGAAAGAAAAAAGGAAAGATGTTCCGCGCAAATAGGAAAAAGAACTGGTTATTATTTCGACGAATTGAACACACTAGTTCATGCGGACGTCTTTTAGATCTCTTTCCTCAGCTTTTGGCTTCGATTGATAACACAAACTTCGGTCTTGATATTTCTTCATATCATGCTAAACCTCATTCAATAATTGCTAATTAATTAATGTTGTATCATATTTTTTATCTTTTTTTTAGATTCTACTTTAGGGGCCCGTTGTATAAAAAAGTGATTAAAGTTAATCATAGTTAAGTAGAAATGTCATCCAATACTATTTAACTACAAAATAGTGATTAAAAAGTGATTAAGAGTTTTATACAACCGGCCCCAGAATGTCAACAGAATACGCACTTGAAAAACTTATTGCTCTAAATGTCGTTCTTATAATTTTAGCTGTTCTTAAATTTCCAAACATGATATGTAAATAGTCTATATATATGTCCTTGTAGTTTTTATAGTTTTGTCTTTTCCGTATTGTTCTGTTATTTTTCCAGGTTGGTCTTCACATGGGACCCATGCATGTCCTGTCGACCACATCCTCGACCATACTGTTAATATGTATAAACATTTTGTATTAAAAAAATAAATAAATAGAATGGATTGTACAGTATCTCCTACAACTTGAACACTAGTTTACCTTAGTCATAACAATGCCGCAAAGCATCATTAGCGGAAATGTTGCCAGAAGTATCAGTGTTAAATCCCAGCATAATATTAACCCGATTAAGTATCCAGCCCCAAAACATACAACACTTGATATGATACTACTGAAATTTGAACCAATGCCATCTAATATTATTTTCATCTCCCTGAAAATTAATAAAATTTCTTTCTGAGGCGAAACATATTTGGACATTCTTTCAGTTATTAAACGACCAGCAGAGTGGTTAACTTTTCTAACCAAATGAGTTTGTATGCGTGGGGAGAAGCTATGAGCTGTCGAAGTACTTTTCAGCATGTTCGCCAAGGTTTTTTCTGAAGTGTGCATTTCGAGAAAATTTTAACTATTGGTTTCAATCACGTGATAATCAGGGCCCGCGGAACGGGGGGGGGGCAATGGGGGCATGTGCCCCCACTTTGTTTTTAAAAGTGAAACAATTGCCTTTTTTCTGGGCTAAACGGTGCCGATTTAAAGAGCGAAAAAAGTATTTCTTGAATGAACGCCCTCTTTTGCTGGAAAGAAAGTGCCCTTTTTGCAGTAGTAAAGACTCTGTAAAGGCCATTTCCGACGTTATAGAGATTAGAGACTCAATATTTTCAAAAATGTTCGTTCGGCTCGTGAACGACATAAAATCGTTTGATTTTGGTCATATAAAAAAGTGCCCCTTTTGGCCAATGCCTCTTCACTTTCAAAGTGCTTCCGCGGCCTCTGGTGATATTTTAGCATAATTTAACTCAAGTGAGGGTCAATAATTGAACTGAGGTCAACTAAAATAACAAAGAATCATAAAATGACTGTCAACGCATCTTATGTAAATGAGTTAAGAGGGGGAGGACGATGGGTTAATGGGAGGGGGAGGGGGTGATAATCATCTTTACTTGCAGCTGCTGAGAGCTAAGCTGAGTTGAGAAAGACGCAGCGAGAATCCATCACCGAATTGCACAACCGACGCTCCGCTGACTGTACAAGCCACAAACAACGATGGTTAGTTGTAAGATGTCAACGTCATGAACTGTCTAGTGTAGGTAGTGCCGATAATATGACAAGCTTCCGTTGTTAGGGATGCAACTACCTGAAAAAACTATATAAGGAGAATTGCGATGTTTCGAGCGAAGGCCCTTCATCCAGCTAGTACGAAGGGCCTTCCCTCGAAACGTCGAAATTCTCCTTATATTTTTCAGGTAGTTGCATCCCTACCAACGAAAGCTCTACTCAGGCCCTTTTTAAAACTTGAAATAATAGAATATATTTTTTAAGAAAAAAACACAAGGCGTTTAATTAACACAACTTTTGAGGAAACCAATCATAAAAATATGATGATTTCACTAGGTTTGATTTCCTAGTGGGAAGTTGTTTACACACCCCCATTGCCACTAGTACATATACAGGTATCCTGGTATGGGCATATCCGTTGCACATTTCAGACAAAATTAAAGGGGGAATTTCTAGTTAAAGGATTAGTGTCACACCAGGAATTCGCGGGCTCAAACTCCTGCTGGCGGCCATTTTTCGGGACGAATAGATTAGATAGGAAGTGTTTACAATCTGTCATATATTTAAACCATCCTTTTATAATCCTTTCTCTTTTTGTCTGATTTTTATCAGAAATGTACCAAACAAGGTATATTTATCGCTATTTGTTGTATTTGAGTAAAATGTAAACAATAACAAAAGCCCGCAATGCACGACTCTGACACTAATCCTTTAAATAAACGAGTTTAATATTTTTAGTCTAAAACTTACTCTGTAAATCTTGTATTTAATTCCCCAACAGAAAACATCTCAAACCATCCAATATTCTTGTATATTGCACTTTGAAACATTGCCAGCCTCATTTTGTGCACTTGACGCTCTGCGGATAGAGCGAACAGACCCATGCCTAACCAAGCGAATACCAAGTTTCCCACCGCCAGCATTACATAGAAGCCAGCGGTCCTCGTGGTGGAAGCCTCGAGGTCAGGTAGTCGATCAGAGAGGTCGTAATTTTCATTAATGATATATGCAACAAAGTCGTTTATCATTTTACCAAAGAGTATAAACTGAGCTGGTATAATAATTCCATAAATTATTGAACCAATTACAGCAAGAGTTAAGAGAATTGAGTCTGTTCTGTCGGCGAAACGAAACTAGAGAAATGAAAGGAAACTGAGACAAATTGATCAAAATTCAAAACTATATTCCAAAATTCAGCAGCCGATTTATTTCATGTTTATAACTTATACTTCGATAACATAATTTATCACCTATATACTTGTTCCATTATCACGGGCGAATGAGAGGGTGACACAAAAATCGCCATCAGTATATTTTAACTAATAATTGTTGCATTAAGGTAATGATTTTAAATATTCTAGTAAAACGAAGCGATTGCATTGCTTACCAGTTCTCTGATGGTTACTAATTGTATCTGATTACTTTCTTCACTGCAAAGTAAGAAACAAATATGATGCATTCTTTCAATAACCCATGCTGCCAAAACAGGGAAAAAAATATAGTCGGGGGGGGGGGGGCAAGATGAATATTGAATAATTAACAATTATTGAATTAGGTTGAGTATGACATGAAGAATTGTCAATAAAATAGTGCATATATACCAAGAGTAAAATGGACTCAATTGAACCAATATAACTGAAACCGGTAACCGCCCCTTCAAACATTTAAAGTGCATGATGCAACAAAGATTCGTATTATATATGTTTATCCCGAGGATTCGGAAGGGCGGGGGGACGAGTTTTCAGAGTGTAGTTTTAGTAAACAACCTACTGTTCGTTCTATTGCACATTAACGATTTACCGTCATGTCCGAATAAAACAAAACTCCATTAGAATTTACAGCATCTGGTAAGTGCATGTATAGACTTTATTAAATCTGCAGTAAATTCTCGTTTAGAAAATCTTCTGAAATGTCTTATGGCAAACAAACTGAGCTTGAAAGCGGCAAAAACTAATATCAACTAATTAACACCACTGACATGCTATACAAAGGTTTGTGATCACCAGCCAATAATTAATATTGTAGACAAACCAATAAAGGAAGTGTTTCCATTGAAAAACTCTAGGTGTTTCTGTTGACGAAAACCTAACTCTAGGAAAGTACTATACCGACAGGCGATAGTATGTGTAAGAAATAGGGGATATATGCTATAAAGAGAGGCCGGTGTCCCAGGAAATTTGCCCACCCCCAAATTTGGCCCCCCCTTCGGAAATTTGCCCCCCTCGAAAACATAGTTTACTTTATCGCTATAAGCTCGGAAATCGTGAAGCTTCTTCTAAAACCAAGATCCTAAAAGTGTTTGTCAGTATTTATAGTTAGTTTGCATAATTTATTTGTGTCGAAATTCTTCATTGCGGCCAAGAGCTAAAAGTTTGAAGGAAAGCGTAAAAATAATAATGTGCTAGTGCAGTCATGCCAGACACATCACACATGGGTATAATCTGTTGAGGACAACGTTAAAGCATAATGGCTTAGCTTTAAGCTAAGGACACGAAACGATTTTTAGAGATAGGAATTTCTAAGATATTACAAGTTATTTGGATCTATAAATTTAGTCACATAGCATAAAATTAGTCAGAATAGCAACCGCACTTTTATAGCAAACGATGACATCATGCGTTGGCGAATATGTTAATATCCACGCGTCTAATAAATGACAGGGAGTAATTAGCATTAGTAGGGTAAAAGTAGACTTTTAAGTCGAAACGTTTGTTCGAAAAACAAAATCAAATGTGTGGTTATTTCGTAAAAAAAACTTTTCCTATGCATTTTACTTACATATACACAATATGTAATGCATCCCAATCATATGATCGATTATACAGAAGCATTCCGTAAAAACGGACGTAGACTGCATGCTTCATGGCTCACAAAAACATTCCGCACACACAAAAGCACAAAGGTTCGAATGACTAACAAAACATTCCGCAAACACAAAAGCACAAAGGTTTGGATGACTCACAAAAACATTCCGTTACAAAGGTTACATGCAGCTACATAAAATCCGTCAGTGTTGTAAGCAATTTTAACAAGAGCGCAGCATGGAGAACAGCGAATACGAAACTATCGTGAACTACCTCACTAGAGGGGAGTATCCTGCGGGCATATCTAAAGAACAAAAAAGAGCAATTAGACGTAAAGTCGCAGAAAGAAGTGCAAACACTACCAACAGTAACAAATTTGTTGCGAAAGACGGGGTACTGTATTACGTTGACATGAGACCCGATGGACTTGGGCTACGCGAAAGGAGAGTATAGTACGGATGGAGGAAAAAATGGAAATACTTCGAGATTGTCACGAAGCTGAGATTGGTGGGGGACACTTCAAGCGCGATAAGACGTATGGAAAAATCTCGGAGAGATTTTATTGGCACGGCTTGATGAGTGATGTGAAACAGTATGTATCAACCTGTGATGTCTGTCAGCGCGTAGATGGTAAACTTGGGAAACAGCATGCCGAGCTGCATCCAATACCTGTGTCAGATGTGTGGAAACAAGTAAGTATTCTGGTAAATCTTAGTATGCTGGTAAACCTTAGTATTTTAGTATACCTTAGTATTACTATTTATAACTTAATATTTTTGCCACAGGTGGGTATAGATTTGATTGGGCCACTCAAGGCAAGCAAACAGGGAAACAGCTACATAGCCACCATGACTGATTACTTTTCTAAATGGCCAGAAGCACAAGCCATTCCCAACAAGAGTACGAAGTGTGTTTCAGACTTCTTGTTTAAGATGATACTGCGATACGGGTGTATGGACATCGTAATCAGTGATCAGGGGAGGGTATTTGCAAACCAGGTACTGAAGATTGTTTTGTATAACATGCTCATGTCAGAATAAGCTGTAGTTTTTTACAGAACCTTTTTATTATTTTATTATTACAGGTAAACAACGAGCTCTTCCCTCGTACAGGTGTTGATCACCGCATTACCAGTGCGTATCACCCCCAAACAAATGGATTGACTGAAAGGTTCAACCAGACTTTGGAAAAGTAAGCATTTAGTAATCAGTACAATCACATCTAATTTTACAAAGTTTGTCTAAGAATTTGAAATATAATAGTAAAATGTGTATTTTTTGTGCGCAGTGCCATAGTGAAAATAATCAACGAAGATCAAGATAACTGGGAAGACAACCTAGACAGCATTCTGTTTTGTTATCGGTCATCTAAAAACGACTCCACAAAGTTTAGCCCATTTTTTCTGATGTATGGTCGTGAACCAAAATTGCCAATCGAATTAGCAGTGAAAGGAAGTCCTCGTTGTGACGACCAAGATTCTACACAAGTCTCATTGGATACCAAGGTCGAACAGCTCCTAAAATTGAAGAAATCGGTGCACGACTTGGCGATGGAAAACATACGAAAGGCGCAAGATCGGCAAAAACGAAACTACGACAAAAAACACGACTCAACGAAGGTATGCACGTATATGTAATTAGGAAAAAGATATACTACAGGACCAAGTTTGTCTTGGAGTCATGTTTTTCTATATATAGTGTAGATTGGCTTAGCTCAAAATACTCGTTTTAATATTTATATTGTATTGATATGCCTCGTTTTTCCATAGCAAAAACATGCGTAATCTGGATAGAAAAGGGGGGAAAATGGATACCCGCTGGCTTGGCCCTTACATGATAACGGCACACGTTGGAAAAGGAAGATATAAACTGTTGAACCAAGAATCTGGGAAACACCTAGCAAAGATGATCAACAGTTCCCGCCTTAAGAAGTATATTCAAAGGAACCCTGACGAAAAATCGACTGAAACGCAAAGAAAGGAGAAAATAATCATTCCAGATGCGCCTAAAGAAGGTAAATATTCACGATAAATTATTTCGTTTAAAGGATTTCAGTGTTAAAAATGAGTCAACTTCATGCAATTTTTGTGCCTTAGGCTATTACGAGGTACAGATTACTAACAGTTTATTAGTAACAGTATGCTAAAAAGCTGTTGGTAATCGTGATAATTTCGGGCACCGTAAAACCGCATGAAGCAATTTGAGTAATCAGTCTTCTTTTCTATCAGATACCAGAGCTGATCAGAACGACGAGTGGATCAAGGCTCTTGGTCTAAAGAAAAGTGATCGAACTGATATACTCAAAAAAAGAATGCTGAACGACAGAATAGTAAACGGAGCTCGAAAGCTGATCAAGAAAAAGTTTGCACTGGTCGGTGGCCTCCAGGATCCTCTGCTTTCACAGTTATCGTTCGATCGGTGTACAAGTGAAGGAGTTCAAATCCACAACACTGGGAAAATCCACTGGATAACGTCATCATCTATTGGAGGGCAGCCAGTAAGTGTCTACGATAGCCTATACGATGACTTAACCGAATCAAGCGAGAAACAATTAGCGCAATGCTATCACAATTGCATCGACCAGGCAGGCCAGCTGCACATTGAAATGGCTTCATTCCAGAAGCAGAAAGGATCCACCGATTGTGGTCTATTTGCTATTGCAAGTGCATATGAACTAGCAAGTGGAAATATCCATTTTAATTACGAAGGATTGTTCGACCAGTCAGCAATGAGAAAACATCTGGTCGATTGCCTGGAAAAGGAAGACATCTCGTCGTTCCCTCGTGCTCGAAAAACGACTGCAGTAGTCAACAACAACGAAAAACTGTTAATAATACAAACACATTGTGCTTGTCAATTGCCAGAGTATGGCGACATGGTGCAGTGTGATCTTTGTAACATGTGGTACCATCTAACATGTACCAATTTAAGCCAAACTCCTGGTGAAGATGACTAGATGAGGAATGGTTTTGCGAGTCATGCGCGCCGCTTTGCTAATGAACTTGGATAACTATAAGAACTTATATATAAACTTATATATAAACTAAGAACTTATAAGAACTTATGAACTTATTAACTTTTAAGAACTTATACTGTATATAAACTCATGTGCGGCTTTATTAAGTAAACTTTGATATTTTTATAAGAACTTATAAACTCGTGTGCGCCGCTTTATTAACTAGTAGTAGTAGTAGTGAACTTTATTTAACTGATCTTTGATATATAATATGTAAGAAATAATAAACTTAACTTATTTATCACAATATTTATTAATCATGATCATGTGAACTCGGTCTCGTTGTCTATAATTGTCAATTAGAATGCGTTTTATGTATTAGCGAAAATCGTTTCCTTTATGTACTAGATAAAACATGAGCAGCCGCGGAGAGTTTGTATATCAGATACAGATCGGATGCAAATGTTTTAATGTTCCTACCACTGTTACAGTACGATGCATTACATATTGTGTATATGTAAGTAAAATGCATAGGAAAAGTTTTTTTTACGAAATAACCACACATTTGATTTTGTTTTTCGAACAAACGTTTCGACTTAAAAGTCTATTTTTACCCTATACTAATGCTAATTACTCCCTGTTATTTATTAGACGCGTGGATATTAACATATTCGCCAACGCATGATGTCATCGTTTGCTATAAAAGTGTGATCGTTATTCTGACTAATTTTATGCTATGTGACTAAATTTATAGATCCAAATAACTTGTAATATCTTAGAAATTCCTATCTCTAAAAATCGTTTCGTGTCCTTAGCTTAAAGCTAAGCCATTATGCTTTAACGTTGTCCTCAACAGATACCCATGTGTGATGTGTCTGGCATGACTGCACTAGCACATTATTATTTTTACGCTTTCCTTCAAACTTTTAGCTCTTGGCCGCAATGACGAATTTCGACACAAATAAATTATGCAAACTAACTATAAATACTGACAAACACTTTTAGGATCTTGGTTTTAGAAGAAGCTTCACGATTTCCGAGCTTATAGCGATCAAGTAAACTATGTTTTCGAGGGGGCCAAATTTCCGAAGGGGGGGGCCAAATTTTCTAGGAAATATGGCCCGGGGGGTCCAAGTTTTCGGGGGGGGGGAAATTTCCTGTGACACCGCATTGGAGGAGCCACAACAAAAAGAGGATCCATTTAAACCCTAGCTAAAATATTGTTTGACTTACAAAGTATAATGTAAGGCAATACCATGTACGAACCTATAATATATGGGAATGCTAATAAAAATTATTGTTATTGTATTACTGATTAGGCAAATGAAAACCATACAAAATTTTTTTAGTTCTTGTTGGTATTTTGAAGTTTGAACTCGCTTTATTGTTATCATGAATTTTGTTTTGACAAATATTGAAGTATTTGTTGTTTCTATTAAACAAACCAACAGGAACGAACATGGAAAATTACTTGCGCGAATTTAAAGCTGCGCGAACAAGTCTCGCGAAATTAGAATGCGCGAATTTAAAGCTGAACGGAAATTAGTACGACGCGAATTTTAATACAAGTAAGGTATACAATACACGGATTTGAAACACCTAACCATATATTTTATGATACATTATCCCAGGAAGTGGGCTCAGCTGTTGTAATCTGAGTAAACTCTGTTAGTATACATGTAAACTACAATATAATATATCGGAGTGTTACTATTTCTATAAATTTCATTTACACTACTCACTAGTCTTTATAGACTGCAACAGGTTTACAGTATATTAACTAGTTTGTAGAAAATCCATTCGCACAGATAATTACATCAGCAAAGTCTAAGATATAAAATATATAGGAGATTAACTTACATATTATAAACACACATGGCATGCCAATGGCTATCAAATAGTGTGAGTGGCCATTGATATTGTTCTGTATTTTTATAATAATACGTTTCATCAGCAAAAATATGGTAATATATTCGAGAAGAATGAACTGTCTAAACAATTCCAGTGGCGTAACGCAATCGCTGGGGGCCCTCCGTCAATCGGCCACTTTTGCCCCCCCCCCCTCCACTAAAAATAGGCTGAATTTACGACTTATGTCTACACAACAGCAATCCTCACTTACATAATATTTGGTTACAGAATGGAATGTTGAGATTATGCCTCCAAAGAATTCTCAACACAAATAATATTTGTATTTTATTGACAATATATCAAAATCCCTATCAGTACGAAGTTCGGACTGGAAAACCTGGCCTACACAAAAAAAGTTCGGACTCGCGCGTCCTACGCGTAAACACAACAATTAAATGGAAAATTGATAATATGCTAAAAGCCCTATACAAAGTTACGATTTTTATCGAGAAAATCTGTCCTTCCTTCGAGCATTAACAAAAGCGAAATGATTAATGACTTTATCTTTTAATGTTTGAGTTATTTCTTTGTTCTCTATTGAAATCAAAGTTAACCCATCAAGGCGCTCTTGAGCCATAGAACTCCTCAGATAAGATTTAATGATATTCAGCTTTGAAAAGGACCTTTCTGCGGATGCTACTGTCACAGGAATGGTTAGGAATAACAATAGCAATTTGCATAACTGTGGAAAGGAGGAAGCAATTCTGGCTTTGTAAATGATTTCAAGAATGCTTGATACCGAGGTAACATCTTCCGCTTTTAATTCGTCAAGAAATTCAACTTGAAACGAACGAACCTCTCTTTCCAGGTCATCACCATCAAAGTCTTCGCCATATACACGTAGTAAGTTCGAGGTGGCTACTTTAATTTCGGCGACCTCCAGTTTGACGAAGTTTCTTGGGAACAGAAAATCAAATCAGTTCTCTGCGACCATTTGCATTCCTTTAAAACGCACTTCTATCTGTGTTACAGCAACATCAATGGTTCTGTAAAAGATGTTTATTTTAAAAGCTCTTTCTGAATCCTCGATCATATAATCGGAAGCCAATTCGTCGAAGAACTGTTTTACCCCACGCTTACGTCGTTTCTCAAACTCAATGGGAATGCCCCATGATGCAGCAAGGGCATTTGCGGTCATTCGAACGGACTCCCATGAATTTCGCAAATACCTTAGTTCTGAAAAACTAATGGATCAAAGTCTGGAAGCGGCACTGAGGTCGACACTTTTCGATTGCAGTTCCTTTGATGTGGAGTTGGTACATGACAAAATTCTCTCCCAGAGAACTAGATTTATGATAAAGTCAATTTTTACAATGTTCTTCTAGATGCCAACTGCTTCATCACGTTCTTTTTTATCCTTGCTGGTCAACGAAATGACTGTCAGTCGCTTCAAAATGTCAACAAATCTGTCCCGCACTCCACGGACCGAATCTACCCTAGACGACCACCTGGTAACGCAGAGCTTTTTTAAAGACAAGGACAAATCAACAGCGAGCAACTGTAAATCACTTGACCGATTTATGGACGATGAGAAAAATACGTAAATGGATTGAATAACTCCGAAAAAGTTATCGTTATCAACAACGGAATTTACGGCATCATTTATAACAAGGTTTAGATTGTGTGCTGCACAATGAATGAATGGCACAAGCTTTGATGAACGATCTTTTATCAGCTTTTGTACGCCATTGTGAACACCACTCATGACACTCGCCCCGTCGTAAGCTTGACCACGGAGCTTTTCCATGTCAAGTCCAATATCTTCGACATATTTGCATGTTGTTTCTACGAGGCCGGCCGCTGTTCTGTCAGTTACAGATATAAAACCAAGGAAAGTTTCCTTAATGGTAACATTCTCGTTTTGTACTTTAACCCACCGAGCAGTGACACTGAGATGATCTACTCTGTTTATGTCACTTGTGGTATCCAGTACAATTGACCAAAATGGACATTCATTTATCTCAGTGACCAAAGACTTTCGCAGCAGCTGAGATGTTGTTAGAATCAGTTCATTCTGGATTTTGGGGCTCATGTATCGAGTTGCATACTTAGGTAAGGAGATGGCATCATTAGTAATAGTGTCAAATTCGCTTAACAGTGTCACCACACCCAGGAAATTCTCTCCTTGTGCAAGCCCTTCACCTACTTTTTTATCATATACTCGCAAAGCAAGACTTAACGAGGCCAGACAAAGAATTACACCCGAAACCCTTCTCAAAACGTTCACCCATAAATTAGTTTCACGTTGGTTCTGCTTTTGGGATTCGTCACTTATTGTCTTCCCTTCTTTCCATCTAAGATATACAGCAGATGCTTCGATATGGAGCAATGAGTTTTCATGTTTCTTTATCTTAGCTAGCAATCGCTTTTTTGAGCTCTGAACTCCATCTACACATGCACTTTGCAAGCCAAAACGTGGATGATTTCGATCAGCAAAAAGCCAGCAATTTTCACAGTATGGTTTTGCTAATATTGGTGAATAACAAAGCCATGATCTCGGGCACATTTTGTTCTTGCTGTGGAGTTGATAATATGATGTGCTGAAGTTTGTTGTTATGTTACCTTGTTCGTCTTCCACTGTAAATGGTCCATCAGGTTTACATGGGCCATGACTAAGAATAAGTCTCTTTAAATCCCCTTCTTCAATTGAGGATGGGAAGTGCCCTCTGTCAGTAGGGTATTCATTGGCTAGATTGAAAAGTCCTAATTGATCATTAGAAGTTTCAGCATTTTTCTTCATGCTCCCACTGTCTACACCTTCATTTGATGTACTTAATTGAGCTTCATCAGCCACGGAAGATGTTGATGGAGTATCTTCAGCATCACTTTCAACATTTTCAGCTTTTTCAAAGAATGAGGCTATAGGAGCTGTATTTTGGGTGGCTATTTGAATACTTTTTCTTTTTTCCGCCCTTTTTGCAGATCCTGATTTATACTTTCGTTTCATTTTTTATTTCTCTAAAACAATTTATAAACCAATAATCATGATTATTTCTGCGATCTGATCTGTTTCTGCCGATTTGTTATATTGTTAATAAGACACTGGAAATTTATCAATAACATATGTTTTAAATCAGCGTGTAAATCTGTCTTGGAAGTTTTATACAATACTAACACTGTTTATACAATACTAACACGCGACACCTCCAACCGTCGCATGCACGTACGACTGTCCAGCAACTGCCCATAATTTATGGTTTTTATGGGCCATAAAAATCATAAATGGCTTGTATATACCGTTGATATTATTACTAATACTATTA